TTAATATTAGGTAATTGATACCCGATTCACCTCCCTCCAGGATTCTAACAAATGAAACCAAAATCTTTAAATAAAAATGCAAGTATATTATAAATCTCAATAAACGATTTGTTACTTTTATATTTAGGAGCTATGTAATTGTTTCTGTAATGGATTTGTGGTTCGTAGGAATTGTAAGTGTTTAAAATGGAAAAGTGTAAGAGGCTTTGTGAACTTTTCGAATTCACATGAACACTCGCCCAGTTGCTCCTTAACACTGGTTTTTCGTGGTGCCCTTGGTCACACAGTAAAAATTACCCTCCTTCACAGAACCTTCCAAGTTCATGTCGTGATAGAAGATTCCCCACCCTTGCGTTTTGTCCTGAGCTGCAGCCTCGCATCTGGAAGATTAATCTGTACAAGTTTTGCGCTCGTCCTCCTCCTAGGTTTCCCGAAAAGTATTTAGTACACAACCTCGACCCCCCACATGCCCCACCCAGCTCATAATTCTGGATAACGAATAGAAATTGTTAATGTTGTAATTCACTTTCGCCTGTGCCCTGTCACGTGGTCTTAGATCTAGACGCTTTCCGTAGCCTTTGGTTTCGAGCTCCTTCGTCCTTTGCTGTTTATTTCTCGTACGCGATTAACTGCTGACGATTCTGGAATAATTTCGATGTCGCTGTCCAGTTTGTGCCAACACGAAATATGAGAAAGTCTCCGGTATTGAACACGCGTGCTTATGAACGCAGACTGGAATTTGCCTTTCGTAGCGAATCAGTTTCCAGTGACACAGCATATTGACAGGTAGACCTGGGAGTCGGGTCTGTCTTAATGCCGTGGCGTTGGTTTCAACTTGTCGTCAGTAGACGTATTGCGTCTGTTCATGGAACTCTGGTGTTGTGTGGAAGGATAAATATCGGCTAATGGAAGGTTTCTTGTTTTGGTTTTAGTTTTTTTTTTGTAGCCTTTGACAACTTGAGAGCAATAGCTGACGTTTCTTAGGTTATGACAATCTTATGTTGTGCAATGCCCATTATCTGAAGGTATATTTGCTCTGTGTTTAGAATGCACTTTTTGTTGGTAGGTTTTTCGAAGCGTTCAGTTCAGACGAAGATCGAACCAAGCTCCTTCTCATAAGTACTATGGACACTGGAATACGTTCATTTCTAACTAGAATTTCAGCATTGCAGATCAGAAACAGTGGGACGAGTCCGCGAATTCCTTGTTGGTATGTTCTGATCTGCTGTGTTCTCGTGCATTTGGGTGTAAAACTTGACCTCTTACACTTAAGGCTGAATATGTCGATGTTGCCCGTTTGGGTATAAACACAGACTGTGTTTGAGAACAGGTTCTGCGATTATTTGAACCTAGGACTTCCAGTAGGTTCCATAAAAACATTCTTCAGTAGGCCGCGACGTGAGGGCGGTCGTATTTCTGGGAATCTGCACTAAAATTTGTCGACGATCCAGTGCAATATTAGTTCGTAGTTCATCTTTTGCATGAGCGCCAGTTTGTCGTTCACAGGTAGTAAAAAGTAGTGCGTTCTACCTACGCAGTTTTTTTGTTAGTCAACCGGAGCGTCACGTGAATTTTGAGGACTTTGGTTGTAACAAACGGATCCAGTTTCGACGCTTTGTACCAGTTGGCATAAAAATCCATTGCTTTGCTGTGGCGTCGTACGTGGCCTTTCTGATATTCTTTCATTCACTTGCCCGCCTGGTACTGAGAGGCGCAAATTGAGGTTTTGGGGCTGGATTCGAGTCCCTGGTTCGGGATTCTCTTTTCAGGTGGAGTCGGTGAATTCTTGGTTGCGCAGTGGACGAAGCGTATCGAATAGTTGCTGACGTCACTTGCAAACGTAGCCCATTCCTCAGAATCAAGTCGCAGTTGAAATGCCCTTCGTCATTTATAACTGTCACTCGCATTTTCCAGAATGTCGGCAGTTTTGTATATTTATGGGGGGATTGTGAATAATTTTTTGTCGTCAAATATTCAATTCAGCGACGTCTCACATTTTGGTGTTGTGAGTGACATTTCTTAATCGTTTGTGGAAGTCAGGGTCGTGGTTCCGGACATTTAATTTGTCGAGAAACTTGCGATTTTCGTTTCTTGAAGGCCAAAGTCGAGAATATATATTAGACTTGTTCTTGTTTTCGTTGACATTAAAGTACTCGAAGAAGAAAGGTCACTGAGGCAGAGATGATGTACTCTAGAAGTTACCGAGCCAATTTCCTGCTTCGCGCGAAACTCAGGTCGTGTGCGTAAGACAGCTGGTTCACGACACAAATTGCAGACTCAGTACTCTTTAGCTTTCGTGTGAAACATTTTCGTTTTCGGTGTAATGTATGCATCCGCGTTTAGATACTTTTACTCTGCTAGTTTCTAACCGAGGCAGCCCTCAGGCTTGGGTGCTTTACCTGCAAACCTCAATATGAACACAAAACTACGATTTTGTGCTTTGTATGGGTATGAAACGTGTTTCCTCACCCCAAAACTGAAAATCTTTGTGGAGGGGGTGATATTTGGACTCGAGAGGGAGGAATTTTCTTAGGGTGATGAAATCAAGGCGAGAGAGATGGGCGGGCACGGAAAGACGAAGACGTCACAATATTTGGAGGGGAACGAAACTGGGTTTCGACAGAGAAGTGGCTCTTGTGCTGACGGTAATGAACATTCTGGTTCCACGAAGGGCGCAGCCGGTGGGTATCATGAGCGCATTACATTTAGCACTCCGCTCGCTTTCGGGTTAGTGGCACTGCTGTTTATTTCCACTGCGTCTGGCTGGGCCCAGGCTCGCGCATGCGCCTTAACCAGGCAGTGTCCCGTGTTTCAAGGTCCTACCGATCTCTCTCTCTTCTCACTCGCTCTTCCTGTGCCACAGCAGCTCAGATAGGATCTGTGGAACAGCTGTTGGGTGTGACGAATGCAACCCAAGTTGACTTCGCAGTGTCTGCCATGTTAATAACGACATTGTGATTGCATAATGCATGGCCCAACGTGGAGGGGGGGGGGGAGCATTCGACGCTTGTAGTCGGATGGAAAACGTCAAGGGATGACTAACTGGTCATTCCTGAGAGGATGATATTAAAATGGTTCTTCAAACCGTACAAATCAGTACTTTTGAACATCTGGGATTTATGCACGTGTATAAATATTGAAAATGTAAACAGTTTGTATATGAAACCAGATAATTTTCAGAAAATGCCCCAGAAAAAGAAATCAGTATTTTATAAAGTAATGTCTACACCATTTACGGATTGGAGTACTGGATAAAACCTAAACAAAGTCAGACAAACGAGCTGCTGTTACTAGAACAATGCATGGACATTAATAGAACAAAATTGTATTATGCGAAACATGAGTAAAAGAAACACTGAAAACTTAAATTCGACTCAGTACGGAATTAATAACTCAAATCTGTAAGTTCGGTTGTAATCAGGCGCAACTCGCCACCATGTTAAACAGCGAAGTGTATTATGACGCAACAAATGGCATTGCATTTAACCTAGAAAAACCTCAGGTAATCCTAGAACCCATCGTAGCCCAAGTACTCAGAGTGTTGTTGTATTTATCTATGTTGAGGGATTCTGGGCTTTGTGTGTGTGTGTTTTCCAACCCTCGTCATGGTTAGGTTAGGTCATTTGTTGCTCTGGGATTTTGTAGTTTATGGGATAGTATTATAACCGTTGCCATAGTGATGCCCTTAAGGGATGCCTCCAACGTACACCGCAGTGCAGTTACTGTAACCTCGATGTAAGATAATACATTAAAATGTTAAGTAATGATTAAGGAACGGACATTTTGTTGCTAGAAACTTCGAAAATATTTATTGTTGCTCAGTGAAAAATAAAGTGTATTTTTGGAGTAGTTGTGGTTACACGTGGATTCCACGCAAAGTCGTAAGTGCCCTGAACGGAAGGTGACGAAGTCGTCTTGAAATCGTGCGTCGTAAATCTGCGTCGCTTGAGAGAATGTACATTCCATCCACACCGCGAAACCAATCTTGCACGGCTCTCCGGTCTTTCTTAGTTTTGTCGCAGAAGTGGGCAAGTTTGGAAGGCCCTGAAGCAGGCAGAACTTGCGGCAGGAGAACCACGAATCGGAGATTTGCCTACGACGGCTGCAGAATGCGTGCTTGCACTCGAATGTTGTGTAACTCGAAACGCTGTTACGAGACAATCGATTTTCCAGTTGCCTGACAAAATAGAAATGAAGACATCCTTTAGAACTGACCCTAGATTTAAAAGAGGTCTCACGTCAGCCCGATCCCCCACAGTTTAGTTAGAAGAATGCAGGACCGCTCACTTCCCGAAGGTCCTGTCGGCCAGGACACACGGAGGTTGGAGCTGCCCTCGTGCGTTTCTGACGGGTGATTCCCGGTCCGTCGACAAGTGTGACTTACGCCCCTCTTGCATTTAAACTGCTGGAACCCGTAGGGGGGGGGCCCACACGGCAAAACAAAGAACTGTTCTAACCGGACTACACGTGTGGCTTTGCTCGTCGTGCTGACGAGTTAATTGTAATCTATTTATCCATTGTTTGAGAGCATATTATTTATTATGTATTCAGTTTTGTTTATGTACCCCAAAATATTTGTTTGCATAAGGAAATGTGGAAATGCGTGTTTTTGAGAGACGCGAGGAAATTTGTATAAAAATTATCGCAGTAACTTGAACGCTACGTAAATTAACGTGAGTTGAGCTGCATAAACTTTTTTTTTAAATTTTTTTAATCGAACCTAAGCTGTGTTGCACAACATTAAGCCGCTTTGTGCAAGCGATGCTCTGCAGTTAACCGTTGGCTTAGTGCTCACGTGTTCTTGTATTCATTGCAGCAAAGAGATCGCGAGGTGTTGAGGCTTAGCAGATTTCGTGCTTAAGATAAGACGATCCTAATTTTCGTTTTGTACGTTTTAATACTTTTCTATATAAAAAAGAAATTCTTTCGAAGCAATGTTTTAGATTTCGACGTCGCCAGTCGGTCGAAAATAATTCTGTTATTTGTTTGTTTGTTTGTAGGTGTCTGGCGCAGTAATGCCCCAAATGAAGACTGGGGAACAAGTGGGCGGCTTTGAACTTGGAGCCATGCCGAGTGTGTTATTGATTTTCGGGCCCCGTGGATTTTGATTTACAGCTGTAACAATCAGTGTATTATATAACATTTAAAAATTTGTGGTGTAAGATACTGCTTAACACAGTTTGTCTGGATGACTAATCACGAAATTAATTGAACGAAATAAGTGATTTTTGTGTATGAGATGGTGATTTTGCTTAGACGTCGTTAGCCGAGGCGAGTGACTAACACTGGTGGTGTGTTGTGGCAATGAAGGATCAACTTTGACCGAAATACATCGTGTTTTGGAACGTTGGTGGCGTCTGCAACATTCAGTCGACACGACGTTCAAGAGTACTTCAGAAAGCCATTGGAAAGTTTAAGGTAAGGGACAATATTTTTCGAACTATTTCGTTATGTGGGCCTGCGCTTTCCACCGACGAATGTCGTAGAGCTTGTTCAGATTTTTGCCTTGTGTCACGTAACAATTTTTTCTGACAACCCAGAAGACAGCCAGTCAAGTCGTACTTGAGAGGTTTCAGCTACTGGCATTCGTAGAGTAAATGTTTCAGAATGGCCACAGTCGACACATCGAGCGGCTGTGTTATCGTCCGATAACCTCCCTTTCAAGCGCAGTGCACACCTTGCCTCAAACAAGATAAGCGAGATAACTCGAGAGGTTGCATTTCTATAGGCCGTGACGTAAGGGCCTTGATCAAGTACAAGGATTGACTTATCTGCAAGGATAAGGACAACCAATGTTTAATGCACCTCTAAGTCGATGTCCGTTGGCCGACGAGTGTTCTGTTCTGTGACTTTGGTGGCGCATATTGTCCCGATCCAAGGGGAAATTCTGTGCGCCTCAAGGAAAATGGCAGTGCAGTTCTATAAACAAGTTGCTCTCATGAAACACCTTGTTAGAACGTCGTGCAGACAGCGGACAGTGCCCAACACAATCGATTACTCTTATGGCGGATAATTATTGTTCCAGCACGGGATACAACTTAATTTTAAATTAATGTTTCTCGTTCCTTTTGGTATAAAAATGAACTTGTCAGTGCGAACAGCTCAGCGTTTGTGCAGCTGAGACCCGAAACGCGTTCATCCACTAGATGTCCATCGGTTGCCGATCGTGTACCTGACGGCGGGTGTCGGAATTTGAAATTCATGTCTCATCGCAGTGTCCTTGAGTGCTTCCTCCCGCTTTTGCGAGCTGCGTCTGTGTGCAGGTGGTGGCTGCCCGCACACCTTCGTTGTTTACCATTGCGATCCCATAGCCCGCAAGCTTTCTTGCTCGTTTCCTGTAGTGCATGTCGATCCCGACAGAAATTGCGTTCACCGCTCTGTGTGTGTTCTAATGAACCTTCTCTGTTCCTAATTATATCTTGTGCACTAACGTCGTGTGTTCTAATGAACCTTCTCTGTTCCCAATTATATCTTGTGCACTAACGTCTGTTTCCAAATAAAGGTCATGAATTGCTTGCTACCGTCCATTTCAGAATTACTTCAGATTCTCAACTTCGACGGAAAAGAAACCAATTTATTTCAGGCGATGGGAGGATAATCTCAGGTGGGATCTATGGGAGATAGGAGTTGAAGGAAACTGGATTTTGTTGGCCCAGGACACGGTCCAGTGGAGGGCTTTGGTTAATTCGGTGATGAACCTTCGGGTTCGGTAAGCCATCTAGTTAGTTAGTTAGTTAGCATGACTGTTTGATAATGTCTGAGGAAAACCACAGTATTTCAACACATGAAAGCATAGGCTAATTTCACTCTAACGACCGGTGTTAGGGCGACCTGATCAGGGCGGGCGCATTTCAGTAGAAAAACTCGAAGGGATGAAACCGCGTGGCGTAGATGGTGGATGGAACTTAGTCCTAAAGATACGGGGTGTGGGAAAGCAGACTGACACAAGGTGGGGTCCCGTGGAGGCCTTTTGTTAACAAGGCAATAAACCTTGGGTTCCATAAAACGTGGAGAATTTCTTCGTACGGCGCAAATACCACCATGTTCTCCGTCCGGAGAGTCTGAAGCCTCACGTGCAGATTAATTCTGAGGGAAGCTAAGGTAAGCAAGCCACAGTGCAGGGGGCCTCAAATATGGGATTGGTTATGTCCACGCTGAGATTCAATGCTCTGGTTGTCAGATGTTGAGTGTTTGATGCAGGACTCTTGAACGGACCGCAGAATCACACTTACTTACTATTTTGCTGACGTGTTAAGACAATATACGGTGTGCAGATTATCGTACTGTTTTAGATCAAGCAGCCTCTCGCACAGTTCTTTAACGATGTGTGTAAGCAACGAATATGTGAACGAGCGCGTTGTCTCATGACCTGTCGCCGAATTTCATTTTGGGATGGTCTCGTTCTAATTCGTCCCGAGACAGGCCGACTCGACTTCAGTCGTACCAGATAAAAGCTGGGGCAGTACGTGAAATTAGGCCACGACCACTTCCTTCCGCATCATCTTCGATTTATTTTTTTACCATTCTGTCATTCGATGCCAAAAAAGGCCGGACCTGTTGACGGCGGCATCAGAAGCCCGTGAATGAGTAAAAGTGCCATGTAACATCTTTCATTGCCTGCTGCATTTGTCCCCGAAGTTTTGAAACAGTTTAAAACTTGCGTTGTTTCGTATTCCAGTCCAAATTAGCGTTCGTGTTACGTACAGACAACAGCTTCTTGTTGAAATGCCGGCCGACTAATGCAATTAGCAGATAACAGTTGCATTGGAATGGAAAAGTTAGCCTAGACGCACTACTTGACATTGCTCGGTCTCGGCGAGGCGAGGGGCGAGGAGGGGGGGTGACTCTGGCAACGTCCGGTGGCCTTCAACCCGCTGTGTCGGTCGCTAGAAGTCGGAGAGTGGGTCTGTAGTGAAGGGGGCGGAGGGGTTTGGGAGGGAAGAGAGAGAGAGAGTGAGTGAGAGAGGAAGTAAGTAAGACGCCTTGTCGTGTAGAGTAGTAAGTACTGAACCCGTAAAGAGTTATGTGGCTTCTTGCACTGATATCCATTTCGTAGTGACAGCTCTTTAACGATGCATGATATTATGTTGGGTTTATGAACAGTGGTTTTGGATCGGCCATCGGATGGAGCACGGCACCAGCTCAGTCCTCCCCGCGGCGATATTCCGAAACTGTTCATAACTTAATAGGCTCTCGTTTTCGTGTACAAGATCCACACTTCCAGTAAAGTGCTCCGACGCCGACGCAATGTTTCATGTGTGTTGCGAATTTTTATAAGAAATTCTGTGCTGTGCCGTCGTGCGTCTTTGGCAAGTTTGGGAGTGCCGCGGATGAAAAAGTCTCCTTTCCTAGACGGCCATCTATGCTATATCTTCAACAGAGAGCACGAAAAGCACATGCAAAGCTCCCAGCCCTCGGCAAGACTGGAATTCGCGGTTCCAGAGTTAGATCTGCCCCCAGACCGACAGATTGCCTGTAACCAGTGATGTCACACGACTTTCATTAATCACGAAACATTTGAACCTCCGCAACAGAAAATGCTACCAAGAATGGGAAGGAAAGTGAAACGGGGTTTGTGTGTGGACTTCCTTTAATGACTGCGTGTTGCTTTTTGTACGTGACGCATTCAAGGAGTACATGGCAGAATAATTGACCCTCTTGTACAGCCTTCAACCCGAACACTGTCACAACGTAATCCGTTTCGTATTACCCTACAAGCCAACTTACTCCCACACTCAACAGCTGTGTCACTTTCGACGTACTTAGTGCCACGATGTTTCACAATCCGGCCAACCCAAGGTCTTGCAGCCGAGGTGGTGATGAACTCATGCCTCTGATGATCGTGAGGATGCAGTACAACGGGGAAACAGACGGTACCATTTTATGCTCTTGTCCAGTAATTTAGCAAAGTGAATCCATGCATTGGGAGATGGTTGTTCGTCTTTGAAGTGAATTTTGCTTTCTGTAGATGTTGCGAGTCTGCCTGAAACTGAGACGCCGTCAGGCACGTTTTATTTTGTTGGAATCCGTTCACTGTAACTACTAACCCAGTCCTTCAGAAGCTGACAGTTGCTCAGCTGGTCAGATAATGCATCCGTCTGAAGAAACCCACGATAGGCAGGGACTCGAAACGGCTCCATCAGTCACTTTGCTGGTGTGGAACGCTGCCCGTTTTCGATCGTAAACATTTAAAATGACGCGTGTTTGATTCCTCCTCGTAGTTACAGTGCCAAGCGTATGAATGCCACACCTACAGGCCATGGCATGGAGCCTGGAGGTCAGCCACAGGTTGCATTGCGATATGCAGAGAGTTTTGTAACCCTCTGAATCACGCGCGTTGTCCAAATGATGTTTAGAAACTTGGTTTCTGCCTCTTGAGAATGTACGACGCGCCCCCACTACAGAGATGAATTGGTTAATGGTATTTAGGGAAATACTAATCCCTGTGTTCTCTTAAAACCGCAGTCACTGAATGTTGGATATATTCTGCCAAGGTTATGGCGCCCCTTGGACTTGTCGGCGGGTAACGCTCCGTGGGAACGTGCTGTCTCAGTGTTCAGCACTGAAGGTGGAGGCAGTATGTTCCTCCTTTCAAGGCCACGTGGTGTCATAACCCTGAAGAGGACAGTGGATTCCTTTACCGTCCACGAACGCAAGTTTCGGATTGTTCTCACGAGAACCTTCTTGGATGAACCCTGTAATCGAAACTTTCCGGGTTCGAACGCAGTGTCTCCAGTAATTCTGAGGAGAATGTTTTGAAATAACATGTCAGTGTGATAACCAATGGACTGAAGCAGACGCAGTTTCCATGTCATCTAGGACTGAGGTGGTCTGGATTTCGCATTCACTGTTTCTCGTCGACTCGCAAGGTCTGACACGAGGAGAATTTATTGAAACTCCGTGGCTGTTATTAGAACCGTTTCTGAAGTAACCCAAGTATTCCGGACAGATTCACGTGTTCGACATTTTTCTGTGACATCAGCAAGCATTTGGCACTGATTTTGTTCGAGTGAGCGTGCCCTAGTTCCTGGTTTTACTTTCTTCGTAGCTCTGAGCTCTTGCTCACAGCTGATTTTGCTACTAAGGGCTGGCATAAAATCCTTTGTTCAGTCAGCGCAGTCTAAGGAAATATGATCGTTGAAAACCCTTGCACATACCAGGGGATCAGAATGCAGTGACAATATTCATTATTAAAACGTGCGTATTCTCACCACTGAGCTTGGAACGTGTTTTGTTGTGACTGGCAGCTGTTTTTCATTACAGTATATCTATATCGTAGAACCTGTGGTCTAGGACAGCGTTTAACAACATTTGCTACGCGGACTAAGTTATAAAATCAAAAGATAATATTTGCATAAAAAGTTTTCGCTGAACGCATTTGGTTAGTGGTACATTTAGTGTGTTAAATTAGAATTAGT